TACTAGGAGCAAGGACGCTACTAGGAACAAGTGCATCGCTTCTAATAACAAGTGCCTTACTAGTAGTATCAAGAAGCTACGAACGGGGCTCCTGGCCTTACTAGGAGCAAGGACGCTACTAGGAACAAGTGCATCGCTTCTAATAACAAGTGCCTTACTAGTAGTATCAAGAAGCTACGAACGGGGCTCCTGGCCTTACTACTAGGAGCAAGGACGCTATTAACATGCTGCTTGGCTTTCGACCTGTGGCTGTCGCCAGGGCACCGATCTCACGAAGCGAACGCTGCGTGGCCAGGAGACGTCTTTTGACGGACGGTGTGGACGGTGTGGGGACAGTGAGGACCTGGCAGTTTAGTTCGGAATGCGAAAGAACATGACGCAAGGAAGGTTTTTTGGCTAGTAGGTTGGAGGCCGTCGCTAGTAAGATCCAGCAAGTCTTCGCAGGAATGCGCAAAACTGACAGCAGGTCAGATTTAGATTTAGATTTGAGTTTTTGCAACCCAAGAAGCGGTCAACAAAAGTAACCTTTGCCTTCAGGAAAGGAGTGCAAATTGATGTTTCGCATGTCGCCAAATCCAGTGGCCACCATTGCCACATCTAAGAATTCCGAAAATTGATGGAAAATCGTCTGATTTTTTAGGTGCACCCCGAACTTTCCAAGGCCCTTCTTCTCGCACTTCTCGTGCCTCTGGCTCTTCTCCGTCCTTGTTCCTAGTAGTAAGGCCAGGAGCCCCTAGTGGCGCCCTTATATACAGAAAACAACATCACAGATTTGCTACAGAGCAGTTTGGCTCAAGCTGCCTCCGTTTTTGGTGAGCTCACCATGACTTGCCCGACTTTCCAGTGGGAGCAGGTGGGCTGTGACTCGTAGGACCTTTTCTGAAGATCGCTTGCACGTCGGACGAATCTGTATAGAATGACAGGATGATAGGGATCCGGAAATATTTTGGACACATGTGGACACCCCATGGAATGAGCTGGGCACTCAGTCGGCGATGTGTTGCTCCCTCGATGTGTTGCTCCCAGGTGGGCGGTCGATGCAGGCTCGTGGAGCCTGGCGACGTGGTGTCGTTGACCAGTGAGCAGATTCAGGAAGCCATGCATCAGAAAGAGGTGAAGAAAAGGCAGATGGAGATGGAGGACAGGACATGACGGCGGACATGACGGCAGACATGTAGAACTGGAATTGAGATAGGCCAGCACCATTTTCGTGAGCAAGATTCAGAGATGATTGTGCAGAAGAAAGGATCATTATGACAAACTATTGCACGTTCAAGTGTTTCTTAAGATAACTTTTCATTGGAAAAAATGGAAAAAGAACAGGACAATAATTAACGGGAACCTAAAATACACCTGCTGAAAACAAGAAGGAACATGAAGCAGGCTAAAAACAAAGCGTTTGTAGGTATAAATATAAATATAAATATATATATATACATATGGTGCTCTTGCATCCAGCTAAAGGACCTAAAGACTCCAGGGCCCCTAGCCACTGCGGCCTAGAACCTAGGCCCAGTAGCTAAGGAACCTAAAGACTCCTAGTCCAGCCACTAACCAAACCCCCAAACGACCAAGGGCCAGCCAACCACTCGGAGTTCAAACCACGTGATGCTACCAATGTTGCGGGCGGCACAATCACAACGCAAAGGGCTCTCCAACCTACTAGCAATGGCCACCAACCTAATAGCGATGGCCGAGCAATGGCCTCCAACCTAAGAGCGATGGCCTCCAACCTACTAGCGATGGCCTCCAACCAAATATGAAAGCAAAGTGTTCCAAACAAATCCTGCCTCATCCGCTCATGGTTTTCACGGTCGCTGGGATCAGGTCGTGCCATGTTGCTGGATTTCTAGTCACCCCCATTCCCAAAGTACCCAGGACCAGGACTTAGGACCCACAGGGGTGGTACCTATCATAGAATCAATAGAACCTGCAGACAGTTTTTGTTCATAAGATAGGACAGAAGGATGGCAGATGGATCACTGCTTTTTGTTGCCTGCACTATCTAGAGTTGGCTGTTCTCTAAGTTCTACCGCTGTTCTGCTTGTGTTTCTTTGCCAGTTCGTAGTTTATCTGTATGCTCGGCTAGTGCATAGAGTTTTGATGATTCGTCCAGCTCAGGTGGAAAGTCTATTTGCCTGCGTAGTTTCTCTAAGTTAGAGCAATTCTTGTTCCTTCATTCGTACATGTGAATGACTCGGTATTCATAACAACAAGTCTCTCAGCTTCCGGGCTGGAGACTTCAGGAACTGAAACGTCTGCGCGAGACTTGGCGCCGAGCCATTTGTTTGGCAAGACAGACTTTGTGAGTTTCTGTGTGTCCCCTTCAGACAGTTGAGCTGGTTTCAGTGCCATACTGATAGTGAATTGGCTCCAAAAGCGAGCATTGTCAATAAACCCTGTCTAGATCTGTCTAGGCTCTTCGGGCGAAGCTGAAACTATGCGCATTCCTCAAACGGCTTCCCTTCAATTCGGGATGTTCAGGGCACAGGCCATGTAGATTGCCAAGTGCATCGCTTCTAGTAACAAGGGCCTTATTAGTAGTAACAAGAAGCTACTAGGGGCTCCTGGCCTTACATCCAGTTTTGTCTGGAGCCTGAAGCGATCCCGTGTTCATTTCTGGAGGCGTCAAGTTGACGCACGTGTGGACGTGCGTCAGACTGCGGTGTTGGAAGTGAAGGTCTGACCTTGTTCGCTGTTCTGACTGATTGTGCCTCAGGATCCTTTCCTCCGCAAGAATCTGTTAGTCTCCAAAATCCTATCAGAAGGCCTATGGGACTTGAGTTTCCTTTTCCATGTGTCCTTTTCCGGCGGCCTTGTGCGAAAAGAAGGGCTTCCTAGTTCTGTGTGTTGTGTCATTTGCCAAGGAACGCAAGAAGCGAAAAAGAGGGCAAGAAGAAATGCTGGACATGATGAAGTTCCTGGAATTGCACAAGTTTACCGGCGTGAATACTCCGAGATATTCTTGCTTCGGCTTCCTGGCACAACTGTGCAACGTTGTTCGTTTGCGGACACCTTCCAAGGTGCCTCGTTTTTTTGACTCTGTTGTTGCAAGGGCAAAACACATCAACACACAATATGTCTATTGCTTCCTCTTTTGCTCTGGAGCCCTTAATGGCTTAGGCTTCAAGCGCACTTATCCTTTGCACGTGGCCATCCAAGAAGGGAACTTTCGGATCTATAAGCTCCTCTTGAAGTTTGGTGCCGACTCCGAACTCAAGGACCATTGTGGAAGGGTTGCTTACTCCGTGTGATGTTCATTCCCCCACCCCACGGCCCCCGCCTCGTCACACTTGGCACAGAAATTCGTGCTGAGATGTTGAAGAAAAGAGAGCTCGTCGGCAGACAACCAAGCAACGTAGATGCCGTAGATGACACGTGTTTGGTTGATTACATGTGTTTGCACCATGTTACACCTTCGGGGCTGGATGGGGCACGGTGCTATTTTGAGATCACATAGCTGGAATAATTTGCCCCAGAAAGGGCGCCCGTGAAATGCAACAACAGCTTGCAGCTTGCATGCTTTTCTGCTACAGAACATGGAAGTTGGGCAGAATCCGTGAAAGGACGTGGGTAGAACCAGGAATGTCACGAATGGGTTTTCAGAAATCATCAGGGATGGCAACATTAGCTCAGCTGCAAGGTGATTGTATCTTGCCCAGCGTGACATGTTCCTTGGCGAGTTGGTTCTTTGGAAGTGGTCTGTGTGACAAAGGCACAGCATTCTTTAAACTCTGTGGCCTCTGTGCGTGAAGCACCAAAGAGTTGACACCGGGAATGATCTCAGTTTCGTGAAATGCGCGATCGTCACAAGCTGGTGACGAAGGCAGGCCAGCTGGGGCACAGCTTTCATATGCGACATGTGGCAACCGCTTCTGAGCCACATGAAGCGCCGTCACAAAGACCTGACGGGACGGGGCTTGAAGGGATCCGACTTGTGGTCATTGTTGCAAATAGTTTCTTGCTCCTAGTAGTAAGGCCAGGAGCCCCTAGTAGCGTCCTTGCTCCTAGTAGCGATGCCAGGAGCCCCTAGTAGCTTCTTGTTCCTAATAGCAAACTATACTAGACCTTTCTTCCTATTCTCTCTTCTTTGTTTCTAATAGAAATGGCCTGTGACCTACTAGCGATGACCTCCAACCTACTAGCGATGGCCGGTCACTTTACAATTTAAACAGCCCAGTCTGGCCAAAAGTCACGCTACATTGCACTCTGCGATTTCAACTGAAAAAGAACAATGACCACACTCTGCAACGGCATTGGATGCCCGAGCACTCCAATTCGTTGAACTCTGCCCGGAGAGCCTATTCAGGCTGAAGCCTGGGGGTCTGCGCGGACCATATAAGAGCGAGAATCGATCTCATGGGAAGGGAAGACGCCAAAAGGGGGAGTCTTGTCAAGGGAAGAAGTCCTATGTTTAGTGAAAACTGTATCATGTCGAAGGGTTGGAAGGTTGATGAACCCAACTTCAGGGCGATCCTCAAGACTAAATCGAGCCCGTTCCTAGTAGTAAGGCGAGGAGCCCCTGGTAGCGTTCTTGTTCCTAGTAGTAAGGCCAGGAGCCCCTAGTAGCGTTCTTGTTCCTAGTAGTAAGGCCAGGAGCCCCTAGTAGCGTTCTTGTTCCTGGTAGTAAGGCCAGGAACCCCTAGTAGCATTCTTGTTCCTGGTAGTAAGGCCAGGAGCCCTTACTAGCGTTCCTAGTAGCCTGCATGATCCTCCACCGATTTGTTTTGCCAATGTCCTTTCCATTGAGTCCCACCAAAGGCATGGGCCAACAGTGAGCCAGCATGAGGAAACAAGTTTAGCCAAATGACTTGAAGGGTGATAGGGACCCCATTCGTAGCCTCTAGGACAAGTACAACCGCGCCTAGACATGCACTAAGCTGACCTCCAAGACACACCTCCGCCTGTAATTTTTGGCACCAGCCTTCTTGTTACTAGTAGCTTCTTGCTACTAGTAGCGATGCCAGGAGCCCCTAGTAGCGTCCTTGTTCCTAGTAGTAAGGCCAGGAGCCCCTAGTAAGTTCTTGTTCCTAATAGCCAATAGCGATGGCCTCCAACCTTTCAGCATTTTTCAGCATGTCCTGCTTTGTAGAAAGGTGCAGGATGTTTTTTCCTCGGACTGCCCAACCTGGCAGAAACATCGTTTTGGTAGTAAGGCCAGGATAGTCCCCTAGTAGCTTCTTTGCTCCTAGTAGCGATGCCAGGAGCTGTTTGACCACTCCTTTCCACCCTTTTTAGGGCCCCAGTCCCCGAGTAAGGGGTTAATTGCCAATTTTGATTGCAACATGGGAGGAGTTTCCGTGTTTCGAAGGTACTTGCAGATAGGGATATTGTTGGAAGTTCTGGGAGGAAGTTTTGGAAACCATACATTAAATTGTATTTACTTATTGTTTCTACTAGCTTCTTGTTACTACTAGTAAGGCACCTGTTATTACTAGCGATGCACCTGTTACTAGAAGCTTATGGTTTCTACTAGCATTTGTGGGAACTGTATCAGCTTGTGTCGCTTTAGAGACCAGTGAGATGCACTGTTGAACTTCCCCTTCGGATCATTGTATTGATGACGAGGCACAAGTCCTCCCTCAAAACAACACTTTGATTTGCACCTGTGGCCGATGGCCCACATAGAGTGTGGCCAGTGTGGCAGTGTTGGGATGCATTGCAATGCTGTGCAGACAGAGAGCAGTCGATGCTCCTCCTCGGAAGCTCACTACCCATGTCACATCTCAAGGATCACACATCGTCCTTAGTTACACTCCTAGACCATCAGTTCCTTTAGTGTAATTATGGAGGGTTCAAATTAAAAGCAAGACTACTAAAGGTCAAACCCTTAGTAGGAAATCTGGCACTGGCAAGAGATTCCGAGGAAGAAGTACTTGCTTGATTGGTCTTTGACTAGACCGTTTGGTTGTGAGTGCGAGGGGAGCACACATGGTATTTTTGGTGGCAGACGGAAAGGGTACACCCTCCACCCTCCAGAATTTCACACTCCAGCCAACCCACAGACGTGTACAGCTTACTTGAGACATTCAAAAACAGCACCTCCCTCCACTCATCTTCATCCGTCAGGTAGGTTGAAGGCCATGGCTGGGTGACGGACCGGGATGGATCTGCGACCCTCGACGCCCCATGGCCGACCGGACGGAACTCCCGTGACCGGACGGCTCCGACACGCTCGACGTGACCAGACGCAGCGGAAGAGACACTGAACTGCTGAGCAGTGCAGATTTCGGGCATACCACGATTTTAGGTCAGACCCTGTCTAATTCATATCGCCTGGAATTCCTAGCTGTTATGTTGTTCGCAAAGCCTGCGAAGCAGCGAATTGGACTACCCTGTCGGGCATCAAAGCTGCTCAAATGGCATTTGTAGTATGCCTTGATAGAACTCTGCATGTGTACAACGGCCGAAAATGGAAAAGCGGAAGATTCGGAATGCGTTGGTAACGGATGTGGTTCATTGGTGGTTCCAGCATGGACCTCTGGGGGGATTGCTCCGGACGAGTGTGTAGCGATGGCCTCCAACCGAAGAGCGATGGTTGGAGTCTTTACCAACACTAGCAGCACCTAGTAGCGTCCTTGCTCCTAGTAGTACGGCCAGGAGCCCCTAATAGCTTCTTGTTACACGGTGCTCAGATTAATGTTTCCGTCGCGAAGTCAGCGCCTCAAGAAGGACATAGATATCCGTTCTCCAATTTGCAACATGGCTCTGGTTCAACAATATCTCATAGCCCCCGCAAAGCGGTGTGTGGACTTGCTATTGCGCACCTCTTCTGCACTTGTCTTTGATCTATATAACTGATCTGTAGTCCTCGACACAACATCTGGTAGTCAGGTCCTTGCTGAAGGACCCTTGATTGGCACAAGAACAAGCGTTAATGCATAAATTCCTTGCGAAACTGGCGAGTAGTTATTATAGGGTATTGTAGAGCTATGCCATGCAGGGACATTCAGAGCGCCATGTGCTGAGAATACCTTTGCTCGAAAAGAGCAGTGTCATTCTGCTTTCTCTGATAAAGAAACACTGAGCAGTGCAGTGCATCAAAGATGTCTGTGCAAAACGATTTGATTGCAGCCACCCCGATGTCATGGGAGGAGAAACATGTCTGAGAAGACTGTTCTTTAGTAGTAAGGCCCAGGAGCTCCTAGTAGCGTCCTTGCTCCTAGTAGTACGGCCAGGAGCCCCTAGTAGCTTCTTGTTACTACTAGTAAGGCACTTGTTACTAGAAGCGATGCACTTGTTCCTAGTAGCTTCTTGTTGCTAGCAGTAAGGCCCAGGAGCTCCTAGTAGCGTCCTTGCTCCTAGGGCCTGAGGTGCAGATGTGCCAAATGCATCAACATGGGTACTGATATGTGAGGATGATGGTGTTTCTGGTCCCCAGGCCATCGCCATCGCCATTATTGTCTATTTATTTTGCTATTAAAGGCAGGTGTTGGTGACTTGAAAACAACACCAGGTAGAGGATCCGCAAAGATCCCGCAGTGTTGACCACACCTTTTTCTCAGGATGTAGTGATGCTGGCAGCTGCGTCCAGAGGGTCTAGAGCAGCCAGGAGCTTTGTGGGTGTCCTCGTTTTGACAACTCCGGGAAACACACGACCGGCCCTAGGAGCAGGATGCTACTAGGAACAAGTGCATCGCTTCTAGTAACAAGTGCCTTACTAG